AGATTTTTTGAAGTTGCTGGTTTGCTTGGAGCTTGGAGGAGATGCAGGAGAAAGAAGAAAGGAAAGTTGGAGGGTGAGGATGAGGGCATTTAAGTAATTTTATTTTTTTAATGTATTAACTGATTAAAAAAATGGAAGTTTTCCTTGTTGGATTTATACGTCATTAACATTTAAAAAGTTATGTGATTTGCTGGCAAATTAACGTAACATTTGTCATTTAAATGACGGAAGGACTATTTTGGTACAAAAAATGAAAGTTTAAGGATAATTTTAGTATTTTTTAAAGGTAAGGGATAATTTTGGTACCAAAGTATAAAGTTGAGGGACTAAAATGGTACTTAAACCAATATTTTTAAATAAATAAATTGAAAGTTAATATTTTTATTTAGAAACTAGTAAAGTTAATATTTAAAAAAAAAATTATAAAGTTTATATTCTTATTTACACAATTTCTTTTTGAAATTGCAATTGAGAATCTTGAGATCTTTATTTTTAGTCATACAATATTTTTAGATATGTATTTAATAATTTTTTTAAAATTATTTTTTTAAAATTATAGAAAGTTATAGTAAATTTACAATAATTATATATATAAAATCAGAAATTTCATTTAAAATTTTTTTTACTATGACTTGTATAAAGTTACTCTTAGTTGATCCTCATAAACCTGTCTTGGACTCAATGGTGCAAGAGTAATTGTTTTCCCCTCCATGACAAATGAATAACGATTTTTGAAGCCATCATGTGTTACTCTCCTATCATATTGCCATGGTCTCCCTAAAAGTAAATGTCTAGCATGCATAGGAACCACGTCACAAAGTTCCTCATCCTTATATCGTCCAATAGAGAATGAAACCAAAACTTGCTTATTTACCTTGGTTTCTCCACAATTATTTAACCATTACAGCTTATATGGCCTTGGATGCTTCGTCATAGGTAAATTAAACTTTTCAACCAAAATAGTGCTAGCTACATTAGTACAACTACCATTATCAATAATCACACTACATACCTTGTTTTTGACATGCCACCTCATGTGAAATATATTATTACATTATACTTCATCATCTTCTTTGGCTTGCACATTCAAAGCTTGTCGGGTGACGAGTAGTTCTCCATCAACGGCATATTCCACACCATCAATAGCATCTTCTAATGGTGGCATAGATTCATCATCAGATTCACCATCGGTTTCAATTTCTCCATCTTCTCTCAAGATCATTGTTTGCTTATTAGGACATTGCGATGCAACATGCCCCTTTCCCAAGCATCGAAAACACTTGATGTCTCGAGTTCTACCTTGCATTTTATCTGTTTTACTCTTCTCATTGTTGCCAAATTCTTTTGCCTTAGACGTTGCAGTTTTAGGCTTAAAAGTAGAATTTTCTTCCTTTTTGGTCCAATTCAGTTTCCAAGAAGATGAGGAACTTGAATTTTGCCCAGTTCTGGTGGTGGCTCCTTTACGTTTAAGTTGTCGTTCTACTTTCATTGCCATATGCACCATATCTTCTAATTCCACATAATGTTGCAGCTCCACCACATTACCTATATCACGATTTAAGCCATGTAGAAACCGTGCCATAGTTGCTTCTTTGTCCTTTTCCACATTCGCTTTAACCATTGCGATTTCCATATCTTTGTGATAATCCTCAACGTTTTTGGACCCTTGAGTAAAGCCCTGCAATCATTAATAGAGATCACGGTAGTAGTGACTAGGAACAAATTGTTTTCTCATCACAGCTTTCATCTCTTCCCAAGTGTCAACAGGACACTCTCGATTTCTATGTTGACTAAGCATAAGCTGATCCCACCACACCACAATGTAATTAGTAAATTCCACCGCTGCTAGTTTCACCTTTTTCTCCTCAGAATAGATATGGCAATCAAACACCAATTCCACCTTCTTTTGCCACTCCAAATACACATCTGGATCATTTTTGCCTTGAAACGGAGGAATCTTCATCTTAATGCTACCTAAGTCACGATCTTGCTGATCTCCCTACCTCGTCAGATTTTGCTCTCATCGGTTAAACCTACCTTTTTGATCCCCTTTACCTCTTATAAATCTGTCCATGCTAAAATTTGAGTTCTAGGTATCATTGTTGAATGCCTCTTCATAATCGTCATTGTTCATTAGCGTCATTCCTACACAAATTCGGACTTCCACTCTGTATTTGGTAGAAATTGGCTATAGCTGCATCTTGCTTTTCCATTTTGTCTCTAATCTCACCAAACATGATGTGGTTGATTTGTCATCATCGCTTGACATGATTGAAACTTGCAACAAATGTTAGAAACAGAAGAATAGAAGGATCTCACAACACTCCCTTACGTGTTTCACTCCATTCTCTCACAGAATGGCACTCAATGCTCATGTTTTGCACATTGTAGAACTTGACTTTTCTCTCAAGTGTTGCTCACACCTTTTGCCTTTTTCCCTCACTCAACCTTGCTCTTTCAGTTTGTTATTGAACTAAACAAGCTCAATTGAAGTTATTTTGCAGCAATTTAACTCCAACAAATCAACGACAAGAGTTAAAGGAAACAGAAAGACACAAAGGAACGAACAAGAAAAGCAATAAAAGAACCAAACCCAAACAAATTAAAATGAATAGATCAGTTCAAGCACTTCCTAGTAGGAATTAACTTGACTATTTCTTAATGTAGTAAGATTCCTAACTTAGAAAGGGATAAACAAAATTTGCTATCTCTTTGTTTAAATATAACTTAAAGAGAATTTGCAACTCCTTATTATAATAGGATTCCTTCTTCCAACTCTTTATTAGAGTAGGATTCCTTCTTCTTTAAGGATTTGGCCATAGATTTCTTCTCTATATAAGGAATTCCAGCCACAGAATTGTGTTGCTTACTTCTCTATCTTCTTTTTTATTATTATTATTATTGTTTTGCATCTTCTTCTTTTTTTTTGGC